AAAGACATGGTACGAATTAATGTTTATTAGCATTGCACTTATAACAACACTAGGGCTATTGGCGCCAGACCTCATAATTTTGAATCTTAATTGAGGACGGCACCTGAGCCGGAATCCTCTATCAAAATTTCTACACCACGCCAGCGGGGGAGTCCTGATTCCTGACAGATTTAACGTGCCTCAGATCCTTTATACGACGGGTCTTCAGTGGGAGTAGGACTCGCACACGAGACTCGACTACATTGGCCACGAGTTCACGATCATGAGGCTACCAATGTCATGCTTGCTTGTATAAAGACTTGTTTGTCTGGTCACTTTTCTGTATTATACAAGAATATGTTTTAAAATGCGTAGTTGGTCTTTATTTTCGTTCATTTAATCTTGTATGGGATTTTATTCCATAAAAGCATATAAAAATAAAAGAATCTAAAAGGATATAAGAATGAACATAATAATTATATCAATTTACTGTTATGTTACTCGTTCTACTTTTTTCTGAAAATGAGTTGGTTTCTCCTTTCTCTAAGTTGTTTATACAATAAAGCAAATAGCTTGCGGTGGTCTCCACTAAAAGACTAATTTCTTGTTAGAGAACTGATGACTCTCAACGGTTACGTAGTTTCGCATGGGAAAGTATCCAAAACAGGGCAATACCGACTTAAGTTCTAGGGCAAGTCAATCTTTGACCCCCCCCCTTTATCCAGCCAACAGAGAAGTGACCGGCGCAGTTCCTACGCCAATATCTGGCTTCAAAATCCACCACACTAGGGGTGACAAGGACCAATGACCAAAGAGTAATCCCGACTATTTCAAGCAGAAATGATTCTGCGTCACGTGTTGCTTTTGACGGGTGACGTATTCTACCTATAGAGACATCGAAAAGAGAAACATACATGCTTCAAAAAGCTCCAACACACTCTCTCTCTCAAACTTACTATTAGATTCCCTTCCAGATTCATTTGGACTCCCACAAGCCTTCTATCAAACTTTTCAAGCCTTCAGCATAATGGACATCATATTGTCTAAGGATTGCGATACCGGTATACCGAATACCGGTTTTTTGAGCCATTTGTACAATTTTGTAATACTGGTATTCACAAGTTTAAGTACCGCTTTTTCGGTATTTAGTAGAATTTTTTTAAAATTGTCTCCACAATATGTTCAGGGATCGCCAGCAGTGGTGCACACAAGGGGGATGGGTCCTAGGGGTCCGGACCCACCCCCAAAGCCCTTGATTTTTTTTCAGATTGATTATAATTCTAAGTATATAGTATGTAAAATTTAATTAATTACTTGTTATTAATGATTCATTTTATTAATTAATGTTAATTATTTATTCAAAAATTAGTTTTTTACTGTGTATTGTTCCCGAAAATCGACGAAATCAAAAGGAGCATGATACAAGAATGGTGAACTTGAAAAATTCCTGTGTGCGCCACTGATCGCCAACATAGCAAAACAGTGTACTTTTTTTGTATTCATGTCTTTCTGAAGGGCGAAACTAATTAGCCTGTGAATATAAAGTTGCATCGTATAATCAAGAGAAATGATAAAATATGTGAATCATCCAAGGAGGCAGGCCAAAACTATCCTATTACAGCTCAGAGCAATACTGCACTCGCGCAGGGTTCGTAGTCTGATATTCGTATCTATGAAAACAAGGTTGTAGTTGTGAAGAATATTCAATATTTTTTTAATTGGTGAGTTTGATATTCACGTTGTATTTGCATATCATACAGTGCAATGGATGCATTATGTTTTTTAAGGTCACATTTCAAAAATTTATAATACAAGTAGTACCACAGACTGAATAGTGATGTTTACATTTTCTTATGATTTAAATAAATAAAATGTTCCTTTACTTTTCGTCATTCTTTGTATACTGTTATTTATTTGTTACAAATTATTTTTTGTGATATTTACATTCTTTAATAAAACTGGTAAATAAAACAAAGAAACACCTGTGTTTACTTTCTTTTTCTAAAATTTCTACTACCGGTATTAAAACCGGAATCCCGGTATTAAGATCTAAGAAATACCGAATTTCGGTATTGAACTTTTGTGGTCCAATATTGCAATCCCTAATGTCGTCCTAACACAGCCCTCACATCAGTAAACCAGCCTTACTAGCACCTCATCAGTGGTGTTCCTCTTCAAGCTGAAGTGAATTGCATTTTTTCTTTTCATAACATCACGATGTTCAGAGGTTCAATCGCGAAGGGAGACTTATGTCTTGAAATGCACTAGATCCTAAATGCGTATATGACAGGGGTGACGAAACTTTATGGACGAATGTGCCATTTTTTCTAAAGAAGTGTTTAATCAGATATAGACGCGCCGCCAAATACTTTTGATTTGTAATTATTGGGAAAATAATAAAACTAAATACTAACAAAAAAACTCAAAAGTTTTTATTTGCTACGATTTTTTTTTTTGCATTTTATAGTTGTAAATATTTTAGTTATACGAGTAATTCAAATTAATGTAACAATAGTGGGATTTCTGCTGTTGCAGATAGGATGACAAATAACTTATTTAAGGATTGTAAGATGCATCTTTTAAGTAGAATGCATGGTGAATTGGAGTCATCTGCCAAATGGTTTCTAAGCAATTAATTATTTTTGCAGTGGTTCACTTTTTTGAAAAGAGGATTTGTGATTTGTTTCCAAATGCCGTTTTACAGACGATATTCTGCATACCACTGTTCCAGGCCGCTTTTCTAGCCTTTACTAATAGTGCCATATTTCTAGATTCACCGTTTGAAATTCTCTGTTACACTTACTATCTTACACTTTTTGTTCTTTTGATGAACTATCCGTGTTAAATAACAGTTCAAAATCGTAAATATAACACAAATAAACCTTAAACTACAGTTTTGTCAACGAAATTGATTATGCTATGCGCAGATAAATTTTGCATCAAAAGTAATTGTTGTACACGACATTAATAATAACAAACGAGTGAGCTCCCAGTCGTTCCGCGACTGATCACTCATGTTTGTTCGTAGTACTTTATAGTAAACTTTGTTATTTTGAAATAAAATGCAAAACATTTTGATCGCTGGCGTGGCCAATATATTGTGTCGTGTGCTAATTGATGGCACGCATGCCACTGGTTTGCCATCCCTGGTATATGATCAGCCACTTATTACGCAATTCAACTTAAAATATAATAGTTTTATTACAAATAGTGATTAAACTATATATATACACTCATGTACATAAATTAAGGATAATGAAGTTCAGGTAAAGAAAGAGACAGAAGAAAAACAAATTTGACTTATTTGTAAAGTCTATTTATTAAACAAAAGGTAAGGAGCAAAAAAGATGCTATATGTTTGACATAATTAATAAAAATTGCGATTTTTACACCCTGAAGCAAATTTCAAAAAAGAACCTATTTACAAAAAACAGTATAACATGGTTAGTATGATGGTTAATACGTAGTATAACTGCCGGACGATGCAATACAGGCCTTACAACGCCTAGGCATGCTGAGTATCAGATTATCAATCTGATCTCGGGGAATATTACACCACTCATCAAGCAATGCCCTCCGAAGTTCCGGTAGACAGGTGGGAGGGGGTTGACGGGCTACAATTCGTCGGCCAAGCATATCCCACGCATGCTCTATTGGATTCAAGTCCGGTGAGTATGCTGGCCAATCGATACGGGTGACATCCTCCGATTGAAGGCATTCGTCTACAATGTTTGCACGGTGAGGACGGGCGTTGTCTTCCATAAACAGAAATTCAGCACCCATGGCACCCCGAAACAAACGTACATGTTGTTCCAGAATGACATTCCGATAGATGTGGCCTGTCATCGTTACACTCTGAACATGCAGATCAGTTCTGCAACCATGAATCATTCCTCCCCAAACGAGCCATCCTGCACCACCGTCCGTAACGGTGTCGTTCAATAGTGTTCTCTTGGTGGTAACGGGTTTTTGGCGCTCTCCATATTTAAGTCTGGCGAGAATCAGACTGCAAACTAAACCTGGAATCGTCGGAAAACATCACACAAGACCACTGTTGTGGTTTACCCAATGCATGCTCTCTACTCCAGGTTAATCGCAGGCGACAGTGAGTTGCGGTAAGTGGAACACATCTGACAGGCCTACTAGCATATAGACTAATGTTCCCTAAGCGTCTGTACACAGTCTGCCTTGAAACTGTTGTACCGGTAGCTGAATAGAGCTGACGAGACAGGTCTGATGCTGTGCTCCGTCTGTTTCTTTTGGCAGTAACTGCCAAATATACCGGTCCTCATTCGGCGTTGTAACTCGTGGGTGACCTGTGCTGTAACATCTACTCACATTACCATCATCTTGGAATCGTTGCCAAAGCCTGGAGATGACACTCTGGGCGATTCCAAGTTCCTCGGATACTTCCAGCTGGGTGCGTCCACATTCCAGTCGTCCAATAATTCTACCACGTAAAAAATAATCCAAACGCTTCCTTTGTGCCATAACTATGCGGTTATTGCACTGAAAGGCTTTTAAAGCGCTTATGAACTATTTTACTTCTTTGCCACCATTCCTTGTATACCCCTCTCTTACACTCTCATCATTGTGTCGTACTATCCGCGCCATCTGGTGGTTTCCTGTAATTTGCATATTCTTCTTCAAGATGTGTGTGATAATTCTACAGGTGAAATTTTTATTTTAGAGTTCAATTTCTGTGTGATTCTGAATTATCCTTAATTTATGGACATGAGTGTATATATATGTATGTATATATATACATTCTGTTAAATTCAAGTTCAAACTTATTTCTGTTTTACCTCTCAAAATGAGAGCCTACGAAATCATTTTTAGTTAAACATGTAATATAGAAATTTTTTTTGAAGTCAATTCCTACTTGGTCAAAAAAATTATTTTTTTTACTATTAAAAATATTAAATGGCAAAATAGAAAGTGATTTTCTTTTCTATATGTGGTGTTGGACTATTAATTTTACTTGTTACTATTTATTCATTCATAAATCACATTCTCAGAAATTAGGTAGGATTCAATCCCACGACCTTTGGATTAGAAGTCCAACGCACTATCCAATACGCTACAGGGACACAACGAACGATTTTCCTTTCTATGTATACTATTGGAATATTAATTTTGTTTGTTACTATTTATTCATTAATTAAGTTTAATTATTAAATTAATATTTGAGAAAACTGTATTAACATCAGATGTCAAATTTTAAAAAATGTATTTGAACTTGAATGAATAGATGAATAGACAGTATTTTATTAATTATATTGAAAAATTTGAGCAAAAGATTATATATATATATATATATATATACAATATATATATAGGGAGATTGTGACTTAATAGTAGGAATTGAATAAAATATGCTGATATAGCCTTTATTTCGACTTGTGTGATCTGGCTACCTTAAGAACTAAATAAATCAGGATCATTTTGCTCGAAATTCAAAATATTGCATTTTATAAAAAATTAAACCAAGAGTATAAGGAACGTCTTGTAAATGTAAATCTGGCTTTAATTATAATGCACATATTTATGTATAATTTTATAAATCTTTATTCTAGGATAATAAAGCAGATATATTTAAAAACTACATTATTTTTGCGAAAATAATTTGTTTCTGAGCACATCAATTTAATTTTTTTTAAAATTTATTATTAGTGTAATGTCTGTAGATACGTTAGTATTATTGTGTTCTTTAATCGTATTATGATCCAATATTATTATGCCATTGATCGTCATTCAAATGCAGGAAAAGCAGATAACAGATTTGAACAAGACAAATTCTAACAGATTAACAAGTAGACTCTTTCATAATTTATTCTCAAACTCTCTAGTAATTACAGTAGATTTGTAGTGGGTTCTCAATGTGTATTTCCAACTAACCTCTAGGGAAATTCACCCTATGGATTGTTAGATGGATTTGAGAACCACGTATTGAGAGAGAACCATGATATATGTGGATTAGATTTGATATTGAAAGTGATCAGAAGTGGGAACGTGGAGGATGTTTAGATTATAACTGAAGGAGAGGTTTTGGTGACCGTATTTGAGAGTATATGTTATTCGAATTGGTGAGTTAGATTAGAATCTCTTGAAACTTAACATGATTCTAAAATTAGAAACTGTTTGGCTGCAATTCAGAACTGTAGTTTCAAAATATAAGTGAATATTTATTACGAGGGCTGGGGCAAATATTTTTTTCTTGAAAATACCAGTCCGGTTGGAAAATGTGACGCATACAGACGGAAGGACAAGGTATTAACTACATGTGTGGACAATGGGTTGCACCAGTGCTTCTCAAACTTTCAACATTGGTGACCCAATTTTAAATCATAATTTTCATCGCGCCCCCCCCTCCATGCAATAATAATGTGTTGAATCCAATAATACTATAGTTTGACGCTAAGGCTACAATACGACTTTAACCTCTCAAGTGCCTTCGTATATAAACATCTCGCTCAGCTAAAACGTTAAATGCTTCGGATATATATAAGGGTCTTTCATAGGTACGATATTTTCTGTGCACTGCTATTTGCATAAAATTATTAAGAAGGTTTTGGAATGTAATTAAAAGACCGTGACAGTGTTTGCAAAATATTTACTTATGTATTAATTTTCTCCCCCCTCCCAGTACAGCACATACGCATGCCTACGTGGAAAACGGTGGCATTGAGAATGAATCACATATCTTTTAATCGGTAGTTAAGAGATTAATTATACAACGCACAAATTATCAAAATAAGTGTTAATTTCTCTGTATATAATTTTATACATGACAATCCCACGGGGTTAATGGTTATTATTAAACTTATTCTTAACTTAGTATTGTTAAATTTATTATGAAATACATTATGCAGTACTGATATACTTATAAGTGTATTATATCTGCGTAAATGAGTATTTATTTCTTATTACGTCAGAATGTATTTAGTTTGTTAACTTTCAGTAAATTAATAATTTTTTTCAATAATCTTTTGTTTTCGACTTTTCAATATGCTCGCGCCCCCCTCGTAAAGTTATCACGCCCCACAGTTTGAGAAACGCTGGGTTACACTGAAATATAGTAATACACTAATTTATTACGGTAGTATACAGGGCAATATGGCCTTCACGGTGTAAAAGAATGACAACACAGTACACATAAAGTTGACATGACAAACCTGGACCTAAAGACCCTCAATGCCTGCTACTATCCCCAAAAGCTGCCAACGATATGGAAGGCGCTGAATACCATCAGTCTCAGCATTTGCCGCACCATGTGGGAACTGGGTCACCCGTTGGCGCACAGCATTAGCAATGTCCTCTCATGTTGAGAACCGCCTACCACGTATTGGTTCCTTAATATTGGGAATGAGATTAAAATCACAGGGTCAGATCAAATACACTGTGACATTCCATCGAATTTCTCTCTCGGAGAACGGCTATTTTGATGTAAGCGGGATGCTCAAAAGGGGTTACTTCCATCTCACACGACACTTACCAACTGACTGATTTCACAGCCCTCGCTGCGCTACTACCAACTATCACAGAGCCATCTGTTGTTCTTCATACACACTATGGCTGCAGAACTTTCACATGGCACATAAACGTTTGTGATCCTGTTACATATATACAAGAAGAAAAAAAATAGTTGCCATGACTTATGCCCCAACCCTCGTTTTATTTCTCAAGATTCAAGGTTCATATTTCACTCTCAGAGATTATTTCAGTTAAAATATTAATATATTACATTCAATAAAGATTGTTGAGTTTTACAATGCCTCTAGATGTGTCCCCTCACCACACTATTACAAAATATGATCCTTTTCGAATTTTCTTTTCGCAGAAAATTTATAACATATGAGTAAAAATCTTCTATAACATACATTCAAAAGTCACATAAGTATTGAACACAGGAATTCAAATCCGTAATCATAATTTCACATGTCAAATGAAATGCTAAATTACTGTCAAATGTTTGACTTCAATATTTCTACCCTGCATCATTCTAAATTAGGATAAAAGAACTTTCTAACAGTTTCTAAAGTTTTCTCGTCAATTAATCCTCCCTCTTTCTAAAGGCCTTCGATTTTATCGCCATATTTTGTGACCTGGAAAAATTTGGCAACTATCACCGTCATTTTACAGTGAAATACGTTTAATCCGAAAACGCATAAGACGAAATATCGATTAATACGAAATAATACAACAGTCGTGACAAACTACTATTCATTTTCATGTATTTATTTCTCTTAACATGAAACTAAAATCACTTACACAAACAAAAAAAATTTGCTTCCGGGAATGAACATTTAATGAAATGTTTGAAAAAAATATGTTTCATACAATATTAATTATTTTGGATTTTACTCAGAAAAATAGGTTTTATGCATTTTTTACACAGTTATAGGGTAATTCCAATTTCCTTTATCAATTTCTATATCTCCCGCACCCTCTCTCCTAAATATTATATTGCTGTTGCAAATTTTCTCGTCTTCAAAGAGATCCTCAATAAAAAGGAGCCATTCAAAGATTTGTGTTTAGTGCCATAGTGACGAGCAAAATTATATTTTTTAAATGTAGCATTTTCACGACAAATCAAACAAGTTGTTGATCCATGTTTGTTTTTCTCTACGATATGGTCAAGATCCTAATCGTCTTCAAATAACCTATATTCTTTAGATATTTTTCGCTTGGAAGACTTGAGAGTTAACTAAAAATCCATGTGTCGTCCGCGACATTTGACCGAGGCTCAAAATAGATCTCTTGCTGCTTTGTAGTGTGATGTCAATATAACTCTCTCTCATTCATTGCAATAAGAGAACTCTGATGTAGTGAAAATCGTTTTAAACGAAGTTAAAAAGAATATATAAAGGGTGTTTTTTAGAGGTATAGAACTTTAAATTGCAATAAAACAACGATGTATTATTCGATTGACATGAATTTTTTTTTTATTCGGAAGATAATTTTGTGGCATTACATTTTAAATATGATTTATGGCATAGGACTGCCACGGCTGGCTCGGATCTAGTCCAATCTGGACGTCCAATTTTCGATGACTTTTTCCGACATTTGTGGCCGTATATCGGCAATAACACGGCCAATGTTGTCTTCCAAATGGTCAAGCGTTTGTGGCTTATCCGCATAGACCAATGACTTTACATAGCCCCGCAAAAAATAGTCTAGCGGTGTTAAATCACACGATCTTGGAGGCCAATTCACAGGTCCAAAACGTGAAATTAGGCGGTCACCAAACGTCTCTTTCAATAAATCGATTGTGGCACGAGCTGTGTGACATGTTGCGCCATCTTGTTGGAACCACAGCTCCTGGACATCATGATTGTTCAATTCAGGAATGAAAAAGTTAGTAATCATGGCTCTATACCGATCACCATTGACTGTAACGTTGCGGCCTTCATCGTTTTTGAAGAAGGATTCCACCAGCCCATAAAGCGCACCAAACAGTCAGTTTTTCTGGATGTAACGGTGTTTCGACATACACTTGTGGATTAGCTTCACTCCAAATGCGGCAGTTTTGTTTGTTGACGTAGCCATTCCACCAGAAGTGCGCTTCATCGCTAAACAAAATTCGCTTATGAAAATCGGGAACAACGGCAATCTCGTTTGGGGCCAATTCGACGAATCTACGCCTTGCTTGATGATCGTTTTGATGAATTGCCAAACCAAACTGAGAATAAATCACTTGACAGCTGTTAAATTGGTCGCCATCTTGGAAAGTAATGCCAACTTAAACTTCTATACCTGAAAAAAAAAACACCCTATATATACCGTCGAACCTCTACATTGCGAATTATTCCATATAGCGATCTTTTTCCTGAAACTTTGAACATTTCACGATTTTCTTCGTTAAACAACCTCTCTATAGCGAAGTGGATCTTCTATATAACGAACTGTTTTCTTTTGTGATTCAATTTTTGTTCTCCGTTTTTTTAAAAAGTATTTCTGAAAAAAATTCAAGTTATTCTCTGTTTAACACATTTTATGGCGGTCATAAATCTTGAAATGGTTGTATTAGATCCTAACTCGCCGAGAGCAATAGAGTTCTGGGCGTTTTATCCAAGAAGTGCAAA